TTGTTTTTTTGTTCTTTGTCATCTAAGATCTTTTCTACCATATGTGATGATATATGATCAAATAAACATACAATAATGATCTTACTACGGTTTTATTAACATAAGTAACGTTTCAACGCCTCTTGTAATCACGAAACTTATTTTCAATGAAGTAGGCATGAAAGTATGATGGCGAACGGCTCAAAGCCCATCTTGATTGTATTTTACTAACCCTACTACATTCACAAACGGTCTATCTGATTATAATAAAGTTTTATTTTGTAGACTCGAGCAATAAACCAACAGTTTAAAAAAATATACGACATATGGACAGAATATGGACGATATTCTACCACTAAGTATTGTTATTGCTGAGAAACTTTGAGCAAGTGATTCGATTTACCCAGTAGGACGCTAGTGATCTTTATGTACGTTAAGATGCTCTCTGTTCTAAGTTTTTTGTTTTGCTTCTTTGTTTTTCATATGTTGTAGATTACATATATTTCTTACTGTTATAATATCTTTGAAGTATAAAAAAATTACCAAAAAAAAGAAAGTTTCACATTCCATCAAAATAAATATAAAAAGGACACGTAGAAACATAAAGTCGGCTAATGCCTCAAAACTTCAAACAAATGCGTCTGTTTAATTATTTTGCGCCATCAATGGTTGGAATGTGGACGCATGTTTATAATGATACTAGTATGTTTTTCATATGTAAATGACTAGAAAAACCGGATAGATAAAGATGAAATCGCGTGTTTTTAATGTTAAATAGTATCAGATAATAGGCCTTAATATGGTCAACTATATACATAACTCCTCGATACTGATAAATTTAATGCTAGGACGTTATATTCGATGAATAACGATCATCTGTAATAACGACTCCTTTAGCCACACACGTACGATCTCTACCATCGATTAAACATGGCCATATATATTCAATAATTGTTTCACTTTCATTATCCGATGTATGAAATCGTTCATGTAATAATCTATCATATTTAGTACTTTGAAATTCAATTAAAAATTGATGATTAACCAAACCCCATCTAAAAGATAAAGCGAAAAATTATTAGAAAAGTGGAACAAATAGATCTTTTAATGTGCATACGCTATTCTACATGATTGCATGATATATTTGATTAGTTCATTACAACATTTTAACGCGGGATAATCATATAATGTTGTCCATAATTGATTTTCCACTTCCTATAACAAAAAAAAGTGAGAAATTAGTTGAACATTCCTTAAACCTGGACAATAGGCTTACGTAGGCGAGTTTTACCACATCATATTTTTGAATTGTACTTTTTAAATATTTTTCAATTGTTTCCACGAGTAATGTTGAACTTTTATCACTTGTTAATTGTAATATTTGTTTTACTTTTAATCGAATTTCTTTTGCTTGTATTTGAGCGTGTCGAAATGCTAACTGAATACAAGAAAAGTAAAGCATAAGTAAAATTGATTTAAGAAAAATATGTACGAATGCACTAACTTACAACAACAACAGAAAATAACAATTTTGATTTAAGATCTTCAGCATCGGACATTTCTGAAACGCTATCGAGTGCATCTAATGCATCAATTCTTGCTTGTGAATATAGTGCATTATATGAACGAATTAATTCTGTTGGACGTGTTAACTGATTTAAGTCTTCAAATTTACCACCTTTTTCAATTTGACGTTGTGCTTGTTCAGCTAATCTAAAGAAATAGAAGAAAAACTATATTTGTATTAAAGAGTTTAAAGACTCTTTCTCGTATATATTCTTCTTTTTTTCTCTAATCTTCATCTATACTATAAAGAAAAGTTTTGATTAATTAGTCGTCATAATTTAAATAAAATTTAAGTAAAATTACAGTCGAACGAAATGTGAACACAAGAATAGATCATCCATTATAGTTTTCGATAATATACTTTCTAAATATTCATACGGAATATCGTTTTTCTTCTCTCACTACTCATTTGACCATATCTATTAATAGTACGCGTAACGGCAAATTGCAAATCAATAGTCTAGAAGCTCGAAATTTCGTCATTCTCTCTGTTTTAAGTTTCAATAGCATTCGTCTAGAACAGTAATTTAATCTTATACATTGTTGTTACGATAATCAAATATTATCAAAAACAAAACTAGCCGGTATGATTTTGTTTATTTTCTCTTGTATAATTATCTAGAAGTTTTTATTACAACAATTAGTAATGTTTATTTCTATATCAAATATAGATCAATTTATTAAAATTAGTGACTCTATTAGTCTGTTTATCACATTATTCTATGCACTTCGAAAAGTCTAAAGAAAACGACTATTGTAACGGTATTTATTTAGTATTTTGCAACTTGTATGTTGTATCACTTAGTTTATTGACTAGTATATGTTCTTAGTGGGGTAGATAAATTTATTATCGTCAATTATCATACTCAACATAGTCGTAAAACTCTAATTGAAACATATTGCCATCATCCCATATTCTATCATTTCATGGGCACTACTATCTTGTTTGCTTATCCAGATCTATCATTATTTATTATCCCACTAATAAAAATATTTTATCAGCCATCGTGTTCTTCATTCATTCTGTCTATGTCATTATACTAGAATATATTGGTCAAATAAAACTTCACTATCAACACTTACATAGGATTGGATTCTTTGAAGGAAAATTAACAATAAAAGGAAATTTTGTAACTTACCTTTCTCTCATTTGTTCTTCGCTTTTTTGGAGACGTGCTATCGTTTCTTTTGATTTTTGTAATTCACTACGTAATAATTGTAAATCATTTTTTAATTTTTCTTTTTCTGCATCATTTTCTGTCTCAACGATCGACGTATTACTGTTATTGTTATTATTCGTATTTACTAATGAATTATTATATTTAGTATTTGGAATAATACCGTTGCTATTTGTAGTTGATGATACAGTCGGTATTGGTGTGAGTGGGACAGTTGGGACAACTGGTAGTGGTGAAGATGCTTTTGGTACAGATCCATTATAATGATGATTAGGAACAAGAGGTGACGAGCCATTCAGCGACGTTCTAAGTGGAAGACATTGATTTGATTGAATTCCTCTAGTTCGTTCACCAATTCGATCATTTCCCAATGGGAGTTGGAGAGGTACTAGAAAAAAAGATATCAAACTCATTGTCTTTATTGTTAAAACCGATAGAGCACTGAGTAAAGGGCATTCATTTTCTAAAAGGGTTACGACATATCGAGTTAAAGGTTTATTGAAAAAAAAGTAGTGGGTTGATCGGATGGGTTTCGATACAATTCTATTACCTATCGTTAAGTAGTTAACTAGATAGTGGCTTCTTTTTTGTTTCAAAGCGTCTTCATCCATAAGCAGTGAAACCATGTGAACGATAAAAACATCGCCTCCACAGATTTAGAAAACTTCAATGGAAATTTTTTTTTCTTCAAAAAAACTAACGAGGAGTATTCGTTCCCACAGTTTTGGAATTGAGTATGTCGTCACTCAAACTTTATCCAGATAGAGAAAGAAACACATCTTCATGCAACCGAACAGGATTTATAAAGAGTGAAAAACAAGTTAAAACTAAAACTCCACATAAAATATAAGTATTGCATCACTTTTTTGATAATATAGCTAAAAATAAACTGGAACACATACACTTATCGTTCTGCATGTATATACATGATAATGCCGTATACATCGATTCTCACGCTTCCAATTCAAATATGTGAAAAAAACAGAGTTATACGTTTTCTTTCTTCTCTTTTTTTTTATACAACTATTTATGTAAAACAAAAGCGAAACAGAAAGAAAAAAATCGATGAAAGTTAAAGAGAAGCGTAGAAGAATAACAAAACAAGGATTCCATATTTCCAATAGAAGGGAAAGCAAAATACCGTTATTGTCAATTAAAGGGCAAAAAAAAACATAAGACGATAAAATCCCTATTTCCTATTTGAATAACTCTAATAATAATAATAATAATATATATTCGGGATAGTTTCTGTGATAGTTGCTTCGTTCGCAGGTACATTAGATAAAATAGAGTATGTGTGAGTTTGTCACATTTTGTACACTAAACTTCATAAACATCTGTACAAAGAAATAGCTTTTTTTTTCTTCTTTTATTGCGCCAGTAGTATCAAATAACACTTGTTTCTTTGCTAAGCTTGATGAATCTCTTCGCTTTTTTTTCTTCTTTATTCTCGTTTAGAAAAATGAATACAATTTCTATTTTTTACACATGTATAGCTACCTGCTCTGTATATTCTTTATCTTCGTTATTGCCGTTAAATTAAGAGAAGAGCAATCTATTTGTTGAGTCATTAACGACATCATATCGGAAAAGACAGATGAGCGTACGAGAGAGAAAAGTTTTGTTCAAAAAAAAGAAAAATTACATGCGTGTTCCCTACAGTATCTGATAAAAGCGAACTGATTTACTAATGAAAACGGTCGTCCCCATAGTTAAACTAATAATTCTAAAAATAACAGTTGAACATACACACTTGTTTCGTAATCTCAGTATTGAATACATTAAGAATATTTTAAGAAGAAATACTGTTCAACTTCCATTTAAAAATAAAACGAAATATTGGGATGGTAAAAAGGACTTACTAGTGAACGTTTTCAAGTCACAAATTATTGTTTTGAGGAAACGCAATTTTTCATAGTAAATTCTTTTGATTTAGTATTCATTCTGACTATTATATTTTTCTTGTACTTTCTTTTAAGATTAAGGCTGCTAAAAAATCATTATGAACTATTATAGTGAGCACTTTCGAGAGTACCAGTATGTAGAGCATATCAAGTCACATAGGTGTACAAATTATTAATGCCAACATAACCTTTCATAGATTTAGAGAATTTGTACTATTAAAGTAATCTGAGATTCTTATAACTTTGCAAAAACTTGTTTATTGGTAGTAGTAATTTGTACACCTATGTGAATTCTCTGTGCTTTACTAACAATAACTGTGCTTTACAATGCTTTACAAACTAGCACTCTTAGAAATCATTCATTATTGTGGAAGTTCATGATGGATTTTTATGCACCCTAGTTTCAAAGAAAGGCACGAGAAAGATCTCACAAGCAGCACAAATATTAAATTTGTAATCTCTAAAATTACGTCTCGTGTAACTTTTCTAATAAATTATGAATTAAACTTCAGCTGTGATAGTACGAAATACAAACATCTCGAATGAATCGAAAGAAATAGTTTAATCTCTTTCAAAATAAAATTAAGTTTTGACTTTTGAATGATCTCCAGACGTCGCCACCTGATGATTTGTTGTTTTACGAGTATTTGAAAGGATCATTTACACTCCCACGGATCATTATCTTACTATCGTTGAATTTTTAGCTGAAGTTTTGATATTGTTCATAAATAAAAACGATTTATGAAAAAACTCTTACATATATTATCTCCATGATCATTCGACACTTCTATAGTAAATGATGGTTGGTATGATCTTAAATTTTCATTTTCATAGTGTTGTCGACGATTCATACTTGGTGTTGATTGTTGTTCACTAGATGCATCATTGATTGAATTATACGATTTAAATATCGACGATTGTTTATTATAAAAACGTACTTTATTTTTTTTTAATGATCGACGTAATGTATTTAATATTCCCTTGTTATTGTTACTGTCTATTTGATTTAAAGATATATTCGATGATATTGGAGCGAGTTTACTATGAATAAGATGGTGTTTAGTATTAGTGAATGAATTAAATGATGAATTTTTTTTTATTAATGATTCTAGTGGTAATTGTTGATGTTGTGCTGATATTAAATACTGCATATTCGATGGTATTGAACGGGCTAAATTAATATTATTTGTAAAAGATTGATTATGATTATGTTTTTGGTATTTAAAATTGGATTTTCGATCGAAATTCTGTTCTAATTGTTGTTGACATATCATTTCTTCTGTTATAGTATCTGTTGGTGTTTGTGATTGAACATGAAAAACTTTTTAGTACGATTTAAATAATAAGAACCATCTGCTGATAACAGACCTCATTTTTGTCGTGTCAAAGATATTTGAGATTGATGTTGTTGTCATTCAATATTAATATAATTGTTATGTTGTTCTGAGGAAAAAAATCTCCCAACATTCGATGAAATAATTCTTCATCTTACGTTTTTTTATACAGAGAAATTATTAGAACATAGAAAAAAAATATACACACAGCAGATGGAAACTTCTTTAAAAAAAAACGAACATTTTTTTCAAAATGTTCCCCATTTTTCAATATAAATCACTACACATGTATGTGTAAGTATTTGTATTTCAAGATTAAAAAATATATATGTTATAACACTAATATATTATGAGATCATTAAAAAAGAAGAAAGAATAAATAGAAATTGTACAATTTTTTTTCTTCATTTTTTTTTTTTTTTTATTACTGATAGAAAGACAGAGAGAATTACAGACAATATAAGATAGATTGTACCATGAGAAAGAAAAACAATACGAATAAACACAGTATTATTTTATGCAAGATTTTTGATCATTACACACGTACATTTCTATATACATATCTCTCTAGTGATCTATCTCTCAACTAGCATTAGATATTAGTAGATGAATGATAAATGTAGTGAAGAAAATATTCTTGTATAAATCTGTATATAATGATAATAAAAATCATTTTTTTTGCTCTTTTCTCTTCACTATTTCCTCATCTTACATGTGGATATATAAATGGACAAACTATAAGAAAATAGGAAATGCTGTGAATGTGATACTGTCATATACTTCAAGAATACAATCAGTTTCGCTTTCTTAAGAAACATATGGCATTAAAAAGCAAGAAGATACTTTTTCTTATACAGTTGTACTAATCATAGTAAAAGGAGGCCAAAAATCCATTCGATCTTATATGTCTGTTTTACTGTAGAGTTTTTTAGCTTTTGAAAACCTGGGATTACTATTGTAATTTTAACACATCTATGCAAATAATATAAAACACACATAGCGTTTCGTTACACTGTCAAACTCAAAAACTATTTTTAACAATTATCTCTACTGATCTGTTTTGTATCTCATTCACGTATTCTATTCAAAATCGTGCGTAGTCGAATAACATATGTTACTATTCTAATTAAATGAATACCGTTATATCAAAATATGCCAGAAATTAAATGTCGATTTAAAATGTATGTTATATAGATGCTCTTTGTACTTTTGACAACCTTGCCCTATTTCATCTTGTCAATTTTCTCTTATATTTCTCACTAACAACTTCTCGTATTCGTATATAAATCATCATCTCTAACTAATGATCGAAAGAGTCTTTTATTTATGTGTAGATTTTTCTGATCATTATAAGACTTTAGTTGTCTACTGGAAGTCAAAGGCAAAATGTCTAGTTAAATATAGTAAAAACGAGTCTACTATTGGTGTATGTTCAATATCTTCCAAAAGAGTTTAAGAAAGAGACAAAAATAGTCTGATTACCTTGATTATATCTATCTCGATAATTTCTAAATGACTTTGATAATTTTGACATGATAAACAAGAAATGAAACAATAAATAGAACTATTAATTTCAAGTTCATCTATTCATCTCCATAAAGTTTTCGATCGTAAACTAATGTGATTTTATTTCATTAAATGTTTTACAAGGCAAACAATTCAATTCTGAGCACAAAATAAAAATGAAAAGAAACACACAAGATCTTATTTGTCAATGTTTAAGTTCTTTTGTAAATATATAGTTGTATGTTAATCGTTCTTCACTTTCAAGTGTAAAGTCGTTTAGTATTTTTTCTTCTTCTCCTTTGTACTTACACACCCACGTGCATTTTTTTGTCTCATCTATCAAATTTTAATATTTCAAAGCAAAGTACACGTTCGTTTGTTCCCTCTTTCGACATTAGAAAGATCTCTTTCTACCATATGTATCGTTTAAACAGTAAACAAAATTGTTCACAATATAATGATTGTTTAGTTTCTTACCGCTGTGAAATAAATTACTCTATACGTAATAAAAGATAAAGACAAGATGTAAAGGTTCAAGCCATAGACTATTCGTCACATATACATTTTAGATCGTCTAATATCGCCTTTTATAGAAAAACAAATTTAGTTAGTAATCTAAATAGCTGAACGCTCTATCAAACAAGCGAAAATACATATAATTGGTTTGTTTAGCTTAATCATGTTATGAATGTATAAATATATACATATAATACATTAGTAATGAACTGCCTTCGAACTACAGTTAAAGATGTTGACTAGGAAGAAAAAGTACAAGGTTGCATTCCAAATTTTGTCAAATAACCATTTTATCAGTTTTATGAAGAGGTAATATGACAAACATATACTATTACAAAAATTTATGATAAATATCAATGTAAAACTACACTGAAAAAAAGTTATGTGAGCTTATCGGTTGACTAAGCGAAATTGATTTTTTTTTCTGTGATATAAAACATAGTAAATAAATTAGGAAAAAAAATTAACCTTTAATCGGTTCAGTTTGAAAGTTGATATTTATCAGATATGTTATGTTCTGTAGAATACTTTGGGATAATTCCAATCAACAGTATTAAAATAGTAGGCGCAGAGTAAAACAAGTTTTGTTCAACGATGAATATTCAGTTTTCTAATTAAAAATTAGATCATGAACATTTTTCAACCATATATTTGGCAAGTTGCAATCATCTTCCCTTAATTAATTAATGAGAAATTACATAAAACAAAACAAGAAAGTTATTTTTTTGAAAAAATCCCATTGAAGGTAAATGCGATCATACTATTAAATCTACTGAGACAATTTTAATCACAGCATGGAAAAATACACGAAAAACATGGAAAACGATTTCCATAAACTTCCAGAAGCTGTTTTTAGGTTTACTCTAAATGAGAGAGTTGTTTAGCAGATTTTTCTCTACCACTTGATAGAAAATTTGAGGAAGAATGAATACAATCGGTCACTCTATATTATTTTCCAAAACAAAAATACCTTGAGTAACAATATTATATACTTTAGTTATACACATCGGGTAGAAAAAATGTTAACTAGTGAGAGTATTAGAAGAACTGTTATAAGCCACGCTTCGAATTCTCATGTGTACTAACGACCTTACGATATACAATGCAATCAACAACATAGGTTTTTTTCCAATTAGTATTAATTGCAATATTTTTTTCCATCTGTTGTAAATTTTAATCGATTGAGCCTTGAAAAAATGTTCAAAAAAATTACTGAGCTTTATTTCAAGGCAATGCCTGACTCACAAGAGACTAATAGATTTTGAGCGATAATTGAGATAATGTTATGCTGTTTTATCTCAAAATAATACTAATCGGGTATAAATATAATGAAAAAGTTAGAAATCAGTATCATTATTTTTCCTCGATCACATAATCTGTTACATGCCTTGCAAGTACATTAAAAATGGTTAAGAACCGGGCTATTCATACAATGACTTTAAATCTGCTCGTCAAGGACTAATTTGATTTATTATCGATCACTTAGTTATGTGTTGAAATACGCTCAGTCTCGCAGATTTTTCAGCTTTTTATCATCAAAAATTCATTATTTCCCAGATTCTATTTTAATATGAACTTCTAGAAAAACTTCTAATTACAGAACATTTGAGACAAAGGAAAGCTCTTGTAATGTTTCCCCTAGTGAATGCACTTGAGCCAAGTACTTGGGTTAAGTAATAAGTAAAAGTAATTAAGTACTTGTGGACTTTTCCAAGTAAATTTACTTGTCAAGTACTTACCAAGTAAAATGTAAGTACTTGGCTTCTCTAAACTCGTTTATTTTCATATCTTTTCTAGAAGAAGAGTCACCGATATAAGCATTAGAATTGCAATTTTCTTTTAAATACTTAAATTATTTCAAGCGATAGCTTATTCATTTTTTCTTCCTATTTCAAGCCCACAGTGGTTAAAACAAGCACAGTTGGCTGCAAGTTCTTATGGTTCCAGCCATACTGAAAAGTAGTCAGTTTTTGTAAATTTATAGTTATTTTTATTACAATTTTAAATGTTACGTTATTTTTGAATAACATTTAATGTTGTACGTACTACTCGACATTCAAAGCTAGTTGTTGTAGTAAAGAATGAAAGTTCATCTTACATCTATATTTTAATAGTGTACATATTTTTAAATTGTACATTTTTCTTCCGTAACTAAATGAATAAAATATTAAAATAAAGCAATAAATGTAAAGTGCTTCTTACGTTTATCTGACTAAGTTAGAATCAGAAATGAATGACATGAACACTAATGAGTATTACAAAGACGACTTTTTTGTGAATAACTCTATATCAAAATATTGATCATATGGTGCAGAACAGTTACTTGAAAAATACTACAGTTGCCCTGTCTGCTGAAATACTGCAAATGGCAATAGTCTCTTGATTCTAGTCGAAGAACTATTTATCATCCTTGGTCATCTTTCTTTACTTTTTGTCATCGCATTTACTAACACTGACGAAGAGTTAATGAAATTAACGGTTTTAATAGAGGTACAAATTTACATTAATTATTTTTCTGTCAAAAAAAATTATTATTCTTCAACCGTAAAAGATAATAAAAAATTTGTTGTTTGTTGTCATTTAGAATATAATCTTCTTTGGTTGATATAATTACCATTCTGAGACTATGTGACGATACAACCTTCATTATTTAGAGAAAAAACATAATATGACACAAAATGTCATACGTTTAGAAACAGTATCTGGTTTGAATAACTTTGAGATTTTTGTGGCATAAGCCATAATGGTATGTGTAAAAAATATGAATTCTGACAAAACTAGTTATTTATAAAAAAAAGAACATAAAACAGTCTAAGGACTTTGTCTTTTAAACATGTAAATAGTTTTCGTGAAAAAAAGATTTCGAGTTTTACTCATCATTGTCACTTTAGTATAATCTTCGAATAATTTAAAAATAT